ATGGTAACAAGAGCAGACTGAGACATGAGTCATGAAGGATGAACAATGTCAGGCCCAGGTTTGGCATCTTAAAAAGGGCATATATGCAGCCATTTGCTGACTCTTGTAGTTTGCTGGCTTTCTTAGGCTACCTACAATGGAGTTTCCCACTGCCTTGTCACACACTGCTTTGGACATAGCGTTATGTCCAATGATAAGTGATAAATACTTATGGCTTGATAGCGACATAAGCATCTTTAGAACAGCATAGAATCACAAAAGTCCCAGGAGGAGCAGGGCTTGGTGGCACACACCTTTTGTCTTAATACTCATGAGACAGAGGCAGGCGGATCTCAGTGATTTCAAAGCCATCCTGGTCTACATAGAGAATAACAGAACAGCCAGGGCTACATAGTGAGAAACTGTCTCTAAAAAGAAAGAAGAAGAGAGGAAGGGAGGGAGGAGAGGAGGGAGGAGAGGAGGGAGGGAGTCCTCCCCAAGAGCAGTTTGCAAAGCCATGCTGCTGGAATCCCACATGAATTTCTGTCCTCAGGACCAGCTTCCATTCAGTGAGTGATCTCAAACTAGCTTACATGCAAGTGTGAGGTAAGGAAAACTCTTGCCTCTTACACACTGCAAGTATCAGGATCCAGAATCAGTTTTGCCTTCCCATGATGTTAATGTTTTTGCTCAGGTCCAGAGAATCCACATCCCTACAATCCACGCCTTCCATGTGCTCTGGACAGATGATGGGTGGGTGTTCTCAAAGCTGCGTATCTTCAGAGCATTTCTGTGAGTGGGTACTGGCTTAGAGTACCCTGTCTGTCCGCACTGCCACTCACCCCCTCAATGTCCGGGAGAAAGGCGCACAGCATTGTAAGTCAGCAGAGGAAAATTGCTAATTGCCAAGTTGTCCCCTGGAGAGGCTCTCCTTCCTTCCTTTGCCCACTCCTTGAGTCTTGCCCCAACCTGGGCTCCCTGCTCCCCTCTCAGGCAGTCTCCCGCCTGGGCAGGGACTTCTCTGTTTCTGTCTCATCTCATCCCTGCCTCTACATGGGGAATATGTCCAGGAACCCTGGCCAAAACCTGCAAATTTATCACCTGGGTAATGACAGCACACCTCATGCTGAGTGAATTCCGCAATCTCCCTCAGCAACTCCTTTGCCAAAACCCATGGAGCTGCAAGATCCTGTGATTAGAGAGACTGTTATCTTTGCTTGAGGAATGCCTCTGCTGGCAATTGTAATTAGGTGTCAGCCATAAGGCTATTTTTGGAAGCTTGTTTAGGGATATGGCCCTCCCACTGCAAATGCCATATGGTGGGGATGTCAGTCAATTCACCAAAACTGAGCATCGGGGATTACATTTTACAGCTGCCTTTATCAATATGGGATATTATAAAGGCTGCATTTTTGTCCCTTAGGGGTGCCTTATTCTGAGTACATTTGCATGTTTGTGGAGTTTAGAGAGTTCTCAGTTCTGATAAAATTGTCCCTTTTTATTTACACGAACAAACCAGGGCCTGTGGGAAATCCCCTGCCCCACCCCACCCCAGGGTTGGGGAGCCCATGATTGACTGGGAAGCAGGGCAGATGGAGGTAGACTAGGTCAGACACTGCTACTGTGGAAGGGTACAGAGCTGGGGGGCGTTATCAAGGAGGGGCACATCGCCAGGCACACAAGGAGAGAGCCTTCCTCCAGAACAGCGGGAGGGACTTTTCCTAGGAGGGATACAGGACTTCCCTTATTTAAAATTTCCGTCTTAATTTTTTATTCTTTAAAATTATAATATAATTGCCTTATTCCCCCTTCCTGTTATTCCTTCCAAATCCTCCAAGTGTCCCCCATCTTTCAAATCCATGCCCCTTTTTTCTTTAGTTATATATATTCTTAAATACACAAATACAAACTGCTCAATCCATATAAAGTGAATTGGATGTATGTTTTCAGGGCTGACCATTTAGTATGGATAACCAATTGGTGTTCTTGAAACCCCAAAACTCTAAGGTAGAGAGATAGGCAGAGCCCTGGGGCTCCCTGGCCAGCCTAGCCAAAGCCGTGAACTTCAGGTTTGTGAGAGACCCTGTCTTCTAAAATGTGCCAGAACGGTTGAAGGAGACATTGAAAGTTTACTTCTGGCTTCCACGTGCCCCTCACATGTGTATGTGTGCTGCCCCTACACACACACACACACACACACACACACACACAAGCATACACATATACACAAATGTATTTGAGAGCAATACAAATGATTTGACCATTTATTAAAAACAAAAACAAATTTATATGCTAATGGAACAAATGTGCTAAGAAAGTAAGTCTCACCTGGGCATTGTAAACTGCAGTATAAAGAGCATCTTCAGCATTTTCCATAGTGACCAACATTCTGATCTATAATTATCGATGTCAAGAATGTGGCTTTCTGTAAGCACATAGCACAAAGCAGTAGAAGTATGTTTAGGGCCATTCCAGAAATCGCTATAAGTTCTGTCCTAATGCCAATCTAAAAGTCATTTTAACAGTTTTTAAATGAAACTTAGGTCAACAACCCCATCATCAACTTTTTAAATCAAACATCCTAATATAATACAATTCAAAGAAATGCTATTTTGATACTCACATGTTGAGGAATAAAGTGGGAAAACATTTTTAAAATCTTTACTTTCTGTAATTAAACCATTACGCTTCTTTATGAGAAGCAAACTTTGTATGTACATAAAAAATGCAGCAATTCATAAGCCAGGTTTCCTCCCAACTCCCCCTCAACACACTCCCAATGTTCCAACCTTCCCTGCTTAGAACTGGGGAGCAATTATTGCTCAGGCCCGCCCTTGGCTCCCTCTCTGTATATAACCTTCTCCAGTGAGGAAATATAGAAGGCAGTGGCCAGCATGCAGGTGCCCCAAGCCCCACCCCAGGTCAGTGTCCTCAACCTGTGGATCGTGACTCCTTTGGGGGTTGAACAACCCTTTCAAAGGGGTTGTATACCAGACATTTACGATTCATAACAATAGCAAAATTACAGTTATGAAGTAGCAACGATCATAATTTGTGGTTGGAGGGTCACTGCGACATGAAGAACTGTATTAGAGGGAACTGCAGTAGGAAGGTTGATCATGTACCTGCAAGCAGTGCCCCGCCCCCACCTCAGAGATCACCTAAGAACTAATGACGCTTAACCTGGAGGGGCAGCCACATCGGGGCAGGTGTGGCACCCTCTGACGTGAATGTTTTCCTCTGCCTACCAGAAATGATCCTTTTCTATGCCGATCCCCGTGACTGAAGGGAAGGGAAGCAGGTGTGGACTCCGTGTGCATAGTTTATTCTATACAGCTTCGCTATGGAAGTGCTTGAGAAAGGGGCTCTAGCTTGTTCTTGAGGAAGGAGTCTCACATCGGAATTAAGCTGAGTTCTGTCATCCTTCTCCATCCTTTGTCACCTAGCTCTCTCCGGAAGGGACAGGTCTCCTGTGGGCACATCATTATCTGCTCATCCTCATCTTGGAATTGTATGTTCCTTATGTGCAAAAAGGAACACAGGAGGCAAGGGACAGCAAGGCTCCCAGGCTCCCAGTGTCCAGATCACAGTTCCCGCTTGGGACATGCAATAGGCAGCGCTAAGACTTCTTAAGTGTGTTGAGCCTTGGGACACACACGAACCCCAGAACTGTGCATGTCTCAAACCCCCAACCTTGAAATCTTAGAGACAGAGGAAGCCCAGAGTCACTGAGTCCCAAATCCTTCAAGGATAGACATTCTCTCTCTAATCACCCCGAGATGCTCTTGCCTGGCACCTTTGAGAGGTCCTTGCTGCCATCCTGGGAGACTGAGAACACTTAATCCATTTGCGGGCAGTGCACCTTGTGAACTGTTTCTTCCTCATACCAAGTCCCCAGTTGGACTTCCTGTGATTTGACAGCATACACACCCACTCCCAACTGGACAGAATAAAACATCCATACATCACCACTCAGAGATCCAAGAACTCATCATCCCAGTTCCTCCTCATCTTTTCTTCTCCATCAAAATATCTCAGGTCAGCTAAAAAATTCCTCACAGAGCATGACCTCTGACCTACCACCTCCCAGTCACCATCTTCTGAATATTTTCTTTGCGCGCGCGTGTGTGCGCGCACAAGTGAGTGAGTGTGTGTGTGTGTGTGTGTGTGTGTATACAAATGTGGGGGGGCAGAGGTTGGTGTTGGTGTCTTTTTCAGTCACTCTCCCCCCCTTATTTATTTATTTATTTATTTATTTATTTATTTATTTATTTATTTATTTATTTATTTATTTTTGAGACAAGGTCGGTCTCTCACTGAATCTGGAGCTCACTGAGTCAGCTGGACTGGCTGGTCAGAAATCTCCAGGGCCTCCTATCTCTGCCTCCCAGTGCTAGGGTTACAGGCGCAGGGGCCTGTGCCAGCTTTTCCTGTGGGCCCTGAGTGTGGGGTTTGTTCAGTGAGCACTTCACTGACAGCTCTGCTCACCCCTCTTCTGAACACTTGCTGTTTTGCTAACGTTTCCTACGAAGGAAGCACCCAAACAAAAGGTACACTGAGACCCCAGCTCCACAGAACTCCATCTACACGCTGCAACTTCACAACACGACCCAGAATTGTATGTGCTTCTTACACAATGATCAATTTTCCCACAGCTGTGAACTAAAAGAAGTGGACTGAAGAGAGGGTCTTATAAGTTATTAAAAGACCGCAGCCTCTCTCCTCCTTCATTAATAATAGAATTACTTAAGAGACCAGGCCCTAGCAAAGATTATGAATGACAGGTTTAGATAATTAAACCATAAGATGGTTGGCCCCAAGGTGAAATCCATGTATATGCGCCAACACCTACCTCTGCATTCTCCTCTCCAGCACCGCCCGGGATTTGGAGGGGCTCTCACCTGCCAGCGTCTCCCCAGCTCTGCATTGTTTTTCTGACTCAGTTTGTTAGGTGTTCCTGAAGTGATGTCTTCTTGCATCTTGTTGGAAACTCACTGGTGGTTTTCCTTTGTCTTTCACAGGTCAGCTAAAGGATGCCATCACCCAGAGGCACCTACAGCAGGTAGCTCTTGGTGAGTATGCTGAGAGCCCTCGGAATGAACAGAGTGTTCCCTGCAGAACCCTCGGAATAAAGGGGGGTGTATGCTTCAGGGCCCTCAAAATGAAGAGGGGTATGTATTGCTGCAGAGCCCTTGGGGTGAAGGGGGAGTGGTCCAAGCTAATTCAGCTAAATGACAAGCCTTCAACACCCTGGAAGTTAAGGAGGGCAAGGGGTGGAGTCTGAGCACCTCCTCTGGGAAAAACCAACTCCCAAACCTGTGTGCTTGCACTTGGCTGTTGACAACTGCCCTTCCAACTGCTTCCTTATCCCCCCCCACCCGAGCTTTCCTGTCCCATCTGAACCTGAACCCTGCTCCCCAGAGTGCTATTCGGAGCCTTCTAGAGGCAGGTCTGAGCAATCCTAACCATAGAAACTTGTGGCAAAAACAGCAACTGGCCAGTGTCTGTGGTCTGTGGGCACCAGGCCTTCTCATCGTCATCACATTCACGGGAGGCCAGGGTGTCCTCCAGATGGGGGAGATTCAGTGGCCTGCCCGTGGTCACAGGGCCAGTGCTTGCTGGAAAGAGAGGACGACCCCAGGTCTCTCTGAGCATCCCTATGATTCCTGACCTACAACAATGGTTGACTCAGTTCAGTGCATTGATAATGTCAACAGTGAACCCACCTGGTCATATCCAAGGGGCCTCCTGCACCTTCAGTGGTAGACGGATGTGGGAAGTGTCCCTTTTGGTATGGAACTCAAGAAGATCACCTGGAGGATAGTGTCATTCTCCAGAAGGCTGATGGAACAGATCGCTGGAAAAATCACCTCACTTTCTTTCCAGCTGGCCAGGATTCAACTAATACTCCAAACAAGAGGAGGCCCGCCCTTGTGATAGCCTGGGTCCTGCAATGACTCACAATTAAAGAACCCCAGTACCCAGAGCTAGTGGAAGGGAGGTATCACGGGAAGCTCATGTCATGATCATGACCCAAGTCAGTAATGATAATAGTCATGAAATGATGACTGATGAGTCAAAATGTCAGGACACGTGTGCCCAGGCCACCTGCCTGGGCTCTGAGCCTCCCAGTGGCAGCCTCGGCAGGGTCACACTCCTGCACTCCAGTGCCAGGGACTCAGCACACTTAGAGTTGACATTCTTCCCATGCCATCTGCCTCAGAGAACCAAGAGAAGGAAGGACAGCCTCTGTTAGAAAGATGCGCAAGGTGACCTGGGTCGTGCACCCCGCTCTGTGCTCACCCTGGGCATGTCACTGGAGTGGAGTCACCCCACCTGTCCCTCACACAGGGTCCTTCTCCAGCTTTCATATTGCTGACTCATTAGAAGTAGCGCCAAAGTGGAAATGCCGCTCAATCCAGAGGTGATTTTCACTTTGGACTGGGAAAGCATGTCTGTAGCAGGCAACTCATGGCCGCTGCAGGCAAGGGCTGCTCTGTCCTGTCTGTTCCCCAGCCCAGAACCCCCCAGGTCTGGTCCTCCTCACTGGGACAGGCGCCCTCAGGGCCTTCATGCGTGTTCTGAGAAATTGTGTGCCTTCATTCTGCTGCCTGCCTCCCTGAGGCCATCTACACTCCGTCTACACTGCACAGGTGTCAGGGTCAGCAGGACCAGCTGTCCTGAGGCGGCGTCAGCAAACTTCAAACGGAAGGCACTTGGGCAGAAGTCTAATTAAGAGCTTCAGAAAGCCCCATTTGTTTTAAGAGCATATTATCCCAATTAGAGACGAGGTGTTAACATATCCCAGCTGCCGCTTTAGGGACTTGACTCCAGGTTGCTGTCCAGGAGCCTTCAGAGGCTGTCTGGTATCTGTGGCCCCCTGTGACCCCGGTACAGAAGGGGTTCTTGTCTGTGAAGGAGGCTTTGTCCTCCGCCCTCAGCTGCAGCTGGCACTTGTGTCAAAGGCTAGGACGGGGCTTCGAGAGCAGCCTCGCTATACTGGTGTGGTCTGCTGTCCTGTCCCGTCTTTGGGGCTTCTAGTGCGAGAATTAGGCAGTGACCAGCCGGCCAGCAACGTCTGCCTCTCTGTCTGATTTGCGCTCCTCCGCCTTTGCCTCGCCCTTCGTTTTAGGCCGTTAGTCTTTCTGTGTGTCCCTAGGTTTCTATGGAGGATGGGTTACTGGTTACTGGTCACTGGTCACTGGTTGGGAGTACCCTGGAAACCAATCAGATCTAAGCAGAAAAGGCTGGCCCAAAACTTCAGCATCTCTATATGCAAAACAGATCAGTGTCCAAGGAAATTCATATGAAGACAACACCACATCCCAAGGAACATAGACGTAGTGGTGATGTGAGAGGCGCCATTTGGAAGAGATCATTGCCGTGATGAGGAAAATCCAGGGGTGTGATGGAGCTGGCTCGTTCCATGTCACAAGGCTGGCTGGCAATGTGTCGGGAATATGGGGTACTGTTATTCAACACAGCTGGAGCTAAGAATCAAATTATGTAAGTTTATAGTTGCGTTATATTTAAAAAAACAACAAACTCTTAAATTTCATTTGTTGCTAATTATTATCTGTGTTTTGAAGTCATCTACAGCCACCATACCTCTATGGGGTGGGGGTCTGCACAGTGCACGTTACTCTGCATTTCCTCAAGTTTATTGACACCACACAACAGCCTAAAGTCAGCTATGGTAGGAGAATTTACATCAAAGGAGTGGGCAGATCTTCTCAACAAGGGCTTTCCCCCACCTGGGTGCTTTTATAAGCACAGCGGCGCTGACATACAGACAAGCACCCCATGAAGCTAGCCATCTCTGCCCTCTCCTGGCTACAAATACAGTTTATGGCTCTCTTTTTATTACCTGCCCAAAGTATATCCGGGAACTCAACCTTCCTCAAAGCCTTGGTCCTTTTGACAATCAGCGGACAAGGAAACTCATGAAGATCTTGGCTTGAGGCGCGACCAGCATTGAGCCCTGTGAGGCCCCTGGATGTGGCAGCCTGAGAGATCCAGGGGTGGCCTTGAAGAGACCTGTCACTTGTAAGAACATGGACAACAGACACGGCTTAGAGGAGAACTGGGTCCTGCATGCTGGCTTGGGAACGAGCGCCATGATGCTATTTTAACACAGGCATTACTTGGAGAGTTGAAAGTGTTGGTACAACTGTATTTTCCTCACTACCTGGAATGATACAACCAGCCTGTGTCTCTGAGGAGTTTCACAACACGTCTCTCTGTGTGTTTTCTTCATTAATGCCCACAAAATCCCCAGGAGGTCAATACTTCTTCTCTAGCCTTCAGAAGCAATGAGGTGGGAAAAACAGCCAATGCAGGGTTGGTTTTGACCCTGGACCTGGAAAACAGTGCCCATGTTCAGGCAAGCGTGCTGTGTCCTCTGTGACCCCAGCCCAGGCCTCTCAGGGCTGGCCCTCCCTGCTGGTCCCCATATTACAGCTAAGACCCAAAGTGGTTAGTGGTTATAGATGCACAACCAGACAGCCTGGTTGGTTCAGGATCTGCCAGCTGCCACACTGCACTGCCCTACACACATGGACTGGCATCCTGGTGTCCAGACAGGGGCACAGAGCTAAGGCCTGCCCCCCACCCAGAATCTCCAGCCTAGCCAGATAAAGAGGATGAGTATTGAGAAGAGGCCAGCTTTGAACTGTCAGAGTCAGAGCTGCCTACGTTTCTATCCACTGTCCTTTCCCTTGCATGCACAGAGCTAGCTCAGCCTTGACCTCCTCCAGGAAGACTCCCCTGGCCTCTTCCCCCACCCCCACCCCAGCCTCTTCTCCCTGGGTCTTGTTTTCTTCAGTCTTATGTGTTTCTGAGCTCACCAGCCTCGTTTTATAATGACTAATAATCTCCAAGCTATTCTCCACATTAAAACATGAATTCCTTGAAAGCTGGGTGCGGAGGAATTTAGTTTTGTATCCCCAGCAGCCGGCATGAACAGGCCAGATCAATGGGCCAATGAACGCTTCCCCAGACGGCTTCCAGACCCACACATCTCGCAAAAGTACAATGAGACATTTGAACATAAAATAAAATAAGTCCATTTAAAACAAGTGGAAGGAGTGAGTGCTTTTGGACCCCACAGCCGAGCAAATCACACACAGGCAGTAAATCTGGCTCTCCCTTGTCTAGCCGCAGAGCAAAAAGAAGCACCCAGAATTCCTGAGTTTTCATTTTCTGACAGCAGGGAGCATACTAACTAATTTATCTGCAGAAATAGAATTTCTTCCTGGAACTAAACACAAGGCAGAATTTATCGTGCGGATCATATGTAAAGGACACTGAGTAACATCACGAATGATGTCATGCAAAGGACACCTAGTGACTCTGGGAATGATGTCTTCAACTGCAGTTTTACAGAAGAATCCCAATGTTGTCCAGCCAGATGATTCTTGTATCGACCTCCATAAAAGGGAGAGGTCTGACATTAAAGCATAACTCACAGAAAGTGTTTATGTGAGCAGCCAGGATAATAGGATCCAGGTACCCTGCTTTCTGATAGTCATAGGGAGGCGGGGATAAAAGGGAGAGACTTCCCCAGGGAATGCGCTGCCTGCCGAGGCCTCACCTCTCCTCTTGAGCAGCATTCTATGAAGGGCTGAGACACATTCCACTCATGATCAAAACTCTTAACAAGAACTGTGGTTAGAACTTAAAAAATGCAAGACACTCATAAACATGATGAGAAGTGTGTCAGGTAAGGAGAGCCACCACAGCTTTGGAGGGCTGGCACAAGGAATGGCCGCTGGCGCCTGTCACTGAGACCTAAGGACA